AGTGGTCAAATTATTGTTATGTCTGTAATAGTTTTTTGCTGAAAATTTAAATAAAAACGCCTGGGGATTGTTTAAATTATATTTATGAGAATTACTTTAATTTGTTTATTATTTATGAAAAAAGCAGCAGATTCTCTACATGTTCATAAAATTACTTTGTCACATTTCTCAAAATCTATAACTCCTAGGTATAGGGAATATTTAATACAGTGACCCTCAAATTTCACGTAGAATACGAAAATGTAATAATATATAGGGTGTCCCATTAAAAATAACGAAGTTGGTGTCGACTTCCGGTATAACCAGAAGTGTTGGAGAGTTCTAGATATTTTAGTTGTGTTCACCCCAGGACATTGCCATGTTGCCAAATTTTCAAATTTTTCGGACTTTCTTAGATATCGTTCGACACAGTTCCCGGTGGGACATCCTGTATATATTTCATATAAAAACAAATAAGTGGTTTACTTTTATTTCAAATTAGTTACCTTAATTTTTAAAACTTTTCAATGTTACTTTCATTCATTTTCAACTACTTTGAAGGCATCTAAATTTTTTTAACAAACACAAAAATTTACAGGTTTGGTCTTTTCTCCTAATATGATTTTACGAGAAACACAATACAAAGAAATTATAGCAGGTCATATAGTGGCATTACTATTTGGTTCTGGAGATTCACTAAAACACTGTATATATAAAAATAATAATAATTTAAATAGGGATCGACCAATATACGATTTTTGGCCGATACCGATATATCAAAAGCCGATATACCGATATATCGGTATATCGGCCGTTTGACTATTTCCGTCGTGAGTCAGGTGGTTTGCATTGAAAAACCCGCAGAACTCATCAACACACATGTAAGTGGATAAACACGTGTTGTGTGTTTCCGAAAGTCAGAACGTTTATTTGTGATTTGCTTTTGTTTAACGTTAAGTGTTTTATATTTAACTCTGCAGATTCAATGTAAAGTAATGTAATAAAAACCAGTAAAATAAAATTATAATAAAATGCCCAAATCAAGGCTATCACAGAAATTTTTAGAAAAAATATGTCAAAACAAGGAGAAATCTGAAGGTCCAATTTGTATTTTATGCAAAAAATCTGTTTTTTCCTTACATCACAATTTGCTCGACGGATAAATTCGCATGAATAGTTAAATTGGATCAGGCTGCTCAAACCGTATATATTCGCAACCGTGCGCATAGTGACTCGGTTATTGCAATTGGTAAGGCGAATTTTTGCGGGCTAGCTTATACCGATTGTGACAAATATTTTTATGGAAAGAGGTACTGGTAATAGTACCAAGATTATTCATGTTCCTTTCAGTTTCTATTTAGTACATATACTGTATTTTATTCAAAATAAAATCGTAAAATTTATCGTAAATCGTAATTTAACACAACATAATGTAAAACTATAAGTGGTCTAACTGCTCCAGACGTATATATTCGCACGCGATAAACAATCGCGCAGGGCGCGGTAGCTACGTTCAGACATATTGCGCAGCGAAAGGGTTAAACAACAAGAAAACGACTCTTTGCATACGAGCGAGACATATTGGTGGACCGAGCCGAAGGCGAGGTCCACAAGTCGAGCAAGTGTGCAAAGAGGTTTTCAAACGAGTTTTTTACGATATTTTTTATACGACTGCAAACAGAGACCACAAAAAACCAAATTTTAATTTAAATCGTTTTTATTACTAAAATTGCCAACGTATTAACAAAATAAATTAAATACAACTTTTAATTTAACTCGTTTTTATTAAGAAAATTGCTAATGCATTAACAAAAGGAACTAATATTTAATATTTATAACATTTGAACATTCCTTCAAGGTTACGCTGGGAAAAGCAGTATTATTGTGCACCTTGTTTTTGGTAATAGAGAATATTTTTGGTGTCGTGTTTTTAGTGCAGTTTTTCAGCATGCGGTCATTGTTTTCTTGTTGTATTCCAGTAGACGATTGTTGTTCTGGTTCTGTGGCAGCAGAAGACACTGAAGACTCTATCTTTTTCGAAACCACCATTTTATTTCTCAAACAGTCATCAACGTAGCCTTCGGCAACTGTACTGGATTTCCACCCTCCATGGCGTTTGAGGGCAAGCAGATTTGAGCCAGAATTGACTAAAATTGTGGCCGATGAACGCCGAAAACAATGTCCCGTGTAACTTTCTGGATTCTCTAGCATCAAAAACTTGGCGATTTCCCTAGCCATGTTTCCAATTTTGTTGATGCCAACGTTTTGGCTTGAACATTTTCCATTTTGATAGTTTAAAAAAAACCTGCCTGTCTTCAGATTACAAGGACGAAGAGCACAGTACTTTTTTAAGATAGTGTAAAGGTTTCCTGTAATTGTAAAACACCTTGGTACCTTTGTTTTTGTATTCTTCAGTTTAATCAGCATAGCACTGCCGAAATCTTTGGTGTCTTCTATTTTGAGATAACATAATTCCTCCCTTCGACATGCCCCAGATAGTCCAACTGCCACCACCGCCTTGATAAGTAAATATTTGTCGTCTGATGCTTTGGTCAAAAACCGGCAAAAATCATCTTCTGTGAGGATTTGGGACTTCTTTAGGATGTAGTTTTCGGATTTTCGTTTGATTAGCGCTTGCAACTTTTTATAGCTTCCAAGATTTATGTTGTGATTGGCACTTAACGTTGACTTGAGCATCGAAAAAATCGTCCACAACGTCGAAGATTTATATTTCTTAGATTGTCCTTCAAAATACACCATTACTGCGTTTTCTGAGAAAGTTTGGACATTTTTGGCTAGTCGCCAGTCCATAAATCGGCTTAACTGCCACATACCTGCTTCTGGATTTTGTGGGCAGCAGTTCCGAACATATTTCACTTGCTTTCTGTAAAATCTCTTCAGAATCACACATTTTCACACCCAAACTTCGGGAATTCAACAATTTTTGAAGTATCTAATCAACAAAATAAAGGAGCCGTGACGGTTGCTATGAAACTCAGCCAACTTGAAACATTGCATAATTTGGATGACAACATCAAACAAAAATCACAATCTGGAGACGCGTGTGCAAAGATGACATAAGCGTGTGCAAAATACCGTTTTCAGAGCGTGTTTTCCGTACGCAAAACACCCTTTTGCAAGGCAGTCGTATAAAAATATTTTTAAGGCCTCAGTTTTAATTTATTAATCATTTATTGTAACTAATTAAATTACATATTTACTTATTTATACCTGTTTTCTTTATTTTTTACATTAAAACATAAGTAATTATTCTTTGGATTTTTTCTGCTAAAACCAATAAGTACTAATTACTGTTGCATTTCATTTCATTTATCATTTATTTTAGGTAAAGAATGATCTGCTTGGAACATTTGTACAATTATGTATTTTTCAAGTATTTTTACTCATTTTTAAAAAATATTTTTGTATTAGAAATATATACAATATATCGCTCTATATCGGCCGACGTATCGAGCCGATAATGCCGATATACCGATATATATATGTATCGGTATCGATCGATCTCTAAATCTAAAACATATCATTAGTAAAATTTGACAGGGGTGTTCCGGATTAAATCTGACGATTCTGCATGTAAATCTGAACACTCTGCATGTATACTTTTTATAGAATATTGAATACAGGATAGATCATTAACGTTAAGAAAAATTCAGGTGGATTTCTTGCCAAAAATAAAATTTTTATAAATATGTGTCTGAAAACGGTTTGTTTTCAAGAAACAAGATGTTAAAATTCTCTTAAAAAATCACATTTCAAAAATATCTTTGAGGATGTAGAATTATGAGACATGGACAAATAAACTGAAAATGTTCTCAATTAATACGGCTTTCTGCAGTATAGAAAAATTGATAACTAATAATTGTTAAATCATAATTTTAATTATTTAATTAATATTTCTTGTGTGTGTATGTCATGTATATGTTTATTGTAAACATGTCAATTCGACGATATTCTGGAAATTTGATCAGCTATGGTAAGTATGTCCAAGAAAATATTAGTTATTGCATTTTTTTAACTTACATTTTTGTTACCACGCACTTCAATGCTTGTTATGTTGATATTACATGTTGTAGTCACCGAAAGTCCAAAAAATCCATTACTGTTGCAATATTATCTATTTTTTGGGACTGTTACTTCTAACATAATGTAAAATGTCTATGCCAATGATTTTTTGTATGTAATTTTGCATTTGCATTTCTAGGAAAAATCATAAGAAATTTCTTTGCAAAATGAATAGTTCTAAAGTTATTTTAGATTAATTGAGGATCTCCTTCATTGGTTGACGTATTACATCTCAATTCAACAGATTTTTCCTTTTAATTAGATCTAATGATTTATTCATTATCACAGATATTTAAAAAAAAATGAACTTTCAAATTTCAACACCCTGATCTTGAGAACGAAATATTTGATGATGTTAGTAGATGTTTGCATTTTGTTACTTATACGAACAAAAATTTGAAACCTGAGGCATACAAATTAAAGTTAAGTACCTTCACTCTGACATGCCTATTTTTTTATTACCACTTGTAGTTTCGCAAGAAGTACCGTCCAATCTGAAATTTTAAATTTGATGGTTCTAATAACAAGAGTGATAGGGCTATGAATACTGAATGTACTGTGTTAGAAAGACATTAATATTAGTTTTTAGACAACCAACACTGTTTAGTTAGTGTTTAGTTTTACCACACATATATTTTGAGCTTTTGCTATTACAGATGAATCCATCAAAACTTATCATAATAATCACATGCATATTATCCAACTATGTAGTAATATAAAGGGTTCCATTTAAATTTCCAAAGTTAGTGGCAGTTCTGATGATACCAAAGTGGTAATAAAAATATAGGTGCGTCAAATAAGCTTATTCTACTTCAATCTTCCCATCTTCATTCAAATTTTTTACTCTCATAAAATGATGGGTCAATACTTCATCTCATCGACAATGCTTTATACAGAATACAGTTTATTATACATCTGAGAAAATAAGTAATACTTACAGCATTATCTGGATGGAATATATAAGAGGCAGGTGAATTATCAACTATAACAATTTGTTTTAGTTCCCGTCCGAGCTTATTAAGGTCCTTTACATAATTACCCCTGTAATATACACAACTCTCTCTAAACAGTCTTGCTCTAAAAACTCCCCACTGGTCCAGTAAGTCAGCTACAGGGTCTGCATATTTAGCTAGTGATGCAGTAAATAGTACACACTCATAGAGTTCACCCATACGCTTTAAAAAATCATCTACATGTGGTCGTTTTAAAACGTACACTTGATGTACTGTTCCATCTATCTCTACAGGCACAACAAAGTCTGCATTACTTATTGGCTGAAAGGTAAATATTTTCCATCAAAATTGTTATATCTCAAAACCAACTATAAAAAAGTGAATTGCAATTAGATATGAGAGATCATTGAGGTAGGTATGTAAAAGAAAAATTAGAATAAGAAAAAAATAAGTTATTGCTTCAATTCTAGCTTATAAATAATACCCGATGCTTCTCAAGTATCTAAAATATTGGTCTCTTAAGTCAATTTAAGTTATAATTTCATGAAGACGTATGTCCTAAAATATGTCATGTATCTAGGAAAAAAAATGTCAAAGACCAACGTTTAGAAAAATTTATTGCGATTTCAAAAAAATATATAAAAAAAAGAATTGACTGTTATATAATTATATTCAACTCTCATTTCTCTAATTATAGTAATATACAGGGTGTTCCATTTTAATTGATCACACTGAATAACTTTGCAGGATGACCTCCAATTGAAAAACTTCTAGAACAAAAGTTGTAAAGTTTTAAGGAGGCCTTATAATAATGACTGGTTTTGACCCAGAGGCCAAACTTAGGGGTCACTTGGAGGTCAATCTTAGAATTTCAAATAAAAACTCATTTGTTTTATCCAGAAATGGAAAAAGTAGGGGCCCTCTGAAGGTCACATTGGTTTTTCGATTGAAATGTTTACATTTTATGGCAAAGGTTGATTAATTTTTGTGTTAAATTCTGTTCAAACTACCGTGGTCATAATTTATGATCTAATTGTCAGTCTGACCTTGAGCCCAAGGGTCATTATTAAAATATGGTCACTTTAATTTTCACTAACTGCCAGATTCACATATTATTATAATTATTATTATTATTATTATCAACAAATTCTTACCTTAAAACTGCTATGAACAAGTGTTTCGTCTAAATCTATAACCATACATTTCTTATATACATCTTGGTGTCTGACAGGGGGCAACAAATCTGGACACCTGTTGCGATCAGTATATTGTGATCCATCGACGCTGTGTTCCTGATTGAGCCCTTTGTTTTTTCTTTTGCCAAGACAACAAAAGAGTGTTTGAAAAAATCCCTTTTTTGTTTTTTTTTGATAAGGTGTTTGATGACCTGTGTCCACTTGATTTTCAGATGTAGGTAATGTCCCTTTAAAAAAAACATATAATTTAATAAGGGGTCAATATTATTTTCTTATACATATATCGGAGGAATATGTTACATTAAAAAAAAAATATATACAGACTGTTACAAATTCGCTTCTCACTAAAGGGATCTCGAAAACAGTAAGAGATACAAACTAGCTTAAATGGTGGCAAAGTTACGTAATCAGAGGATCAACATTATGCCTCTAAAAAATCAAGGCTAACATGATTAGTTTTCGAAATATTTGAAAAAAAACGAAATTTTAGAAATCTGTTTTTATTTCATTTCAACCTTGTTTAAGGTGATATTGAAAAAAGAAAAACACTGTCTCATGGCAACTTTTTGCCCTCTATCGAATGGCAGTATCAATTTTTATATCTAACGTTTCGTCTTTCGAGGACCATCATCAACTTCTTTTTAAATACACCCCTTACATTTTATGCAAGCCTTCAAGACCAATTTTCCAGAGTTCCAAAATTTTGTTTTTTTCAAATATTTTTGATTTTTTAGAGGCATAATGTTGGTCCCCTGATTACGCAGCCTTGTCCCCATTTAAGCTATTTTGTATGTATTACCGTTTCTGAGATCCCTGTAATGAGAAGCGGATTTGTAACAGCCTGTATATTAATTAAATAAGAAAGTGTCTAACTAAAACAGTTTTAAACTAATATTAAAATATGTTATTTTATGGTACTACATTCAGTAGGCTACATATCAGTAAGAGTTGACTTTTGTATACATACAAGTTAGGAGTAATCTTATTTTAATCCAAAAATTGGGTCATGGTCGAAAGATGTCTCAACTTGTCCCAACCTTTCTGGGACACTCTGTATATTGTAGGTACAATGTATTTAAATAAATGGATGAGTTGAATTTTTGCAAATTAAACTCTTATGTTAAATTTTGAACTACATATTTCATTCCAACATCGTCTTCCTTTGAAAAGATTTTTGAAAAATTTTTTGAATTAACCGATAAAATAAAATAAAAATAAACAACAGTGACATTTCCATTATAAATTATACCAATTCTTGGATCAAGTTGTTGTGGTTGTTACAACAACAGCTACATCGTCTTGGTCTATTTTGCAAACTGCAGATAGTTGTTCTGATAAAAAAAAGTCAGTGCACAGCTGAAGCATGGCCTGTGTACAATCAGACAGAACTCGGTAAATACCTACACAATCTGAGCACAATATAAATAAAACATCTAGAAGGACTGTTAAGATATCACAAGAAAGTTGATATATACAATTCTTTTTTAAATGAGTACCTATAAGTTTATAGAGAATGGTACTCCTATTTTTTGAAGTGTCGTATGTCCAGAACATATCAGAAACCAGTTTAGTACCATCCTGTATTTATTGCTCCTAGATTTTTCATTTTTTGATCTACTCATTTACTTAAAATGTTAGCCTAACTTAGCATATAATATACTAAAATTTGCACAGTAATTACAACTGTTTACAATATTATATTTGTATTTAAAGAAGTGTTAATAGAATTGTAAATTTTTATTTATTTTGACAATATTTTTTCATGATGAGAACTTATCACTCTCTTGTAGCTCAACAAATCTAATGTCCAAATTATTTATGCAATACATAAAAACCTCTACCGACCAAGTGCAGAACAATACTTACTTTTGAGAAAAAAAATTGTTAAAATTTAAAACTAAAAGCACATTCGTCAGACATGAAAATATCTAATATTTGAGTAATACTTAGTTAAGAGTTAAATGTGAGTTAAATGTATTAAATAGGTTCGGGTGCTTCTTTGGAGGTGTGAAGCGGGACGCGGGGACTTGCTTGTAGATATTGAATAAAATTGAATTTAAAATACTTAAAATTATATATTTCCATTGTTCAATTACTATTTTTTACCCAATATTCATAAATAAATGCCAAAACTTACAACAGCGCACGAGCACTGTGCGTTTGTTATTTTTAAGTTGTCATGCAAAGCTGATTGCTTTAAACCTCGCTTTAAACTATAAAATGTAGGATGAAGAATAGTCGGTAGAAAGGAAAATTTGTAACCAAAAGAAAGTATGAGTCGAGAATTAGAACAGAAAATAGTAAAAGTAGGAAGAGTTGAAGAGAAGATTGCAGAGCAAGAACTTCCGCACACTGTTGGAGAACATCAACTAATCAACATAGAGTACATGGCACAAAGCATACTGCAAAGCATACTCTTTTTGCAAAGAACTTTTACATATTTTAGATTATCTACAAACTGTGACCACGAAGTGGAAAAGTTTAAATATGATTTTTTAGTTACATGTATAAGTAACATCATACTACTATGATGCACTTCTGTGAATACAAATGTTCCTCATAAGACAATGGTTTAAAGCAATTGCATTTATGAAAGTATAATTTGATATATATAGTATTATACTGTGAATCGATGTTATTGCAGCCAAAATATTCTAAAAAAAAAAAAAAATATACTGAAATTATTGAAATCAAGATTGAAATGTTAATTTTAAAATAAAAAGTGATATTAAAAATGTCATAATTTGTCAAAATGCATAAGATTGTTATATTCGCTGTGATACAAAGTATAAATATATTCGTTGTTTATATGCTGCTGTATTTTTTACTTCTTGTATTGAAAGTATATCATACTTATAAATTAAAAAATATTTCAAGAAACATACTCCTTCGCGTTTATAACTTGTCTTACTTACTTTTTTCTTTCTTTCATCTTTAATTAACGATTCAAGTAAATGTCTATATTTTTTTCGTCTTACATTTGCATTTTTTCACCAGTAATTCGATTGTAAGGATATGCATCACAGCATTTCCCATAAGAACCTATGTTAAATATTCAAATTTTTGGTATTAATTAAATACAAAAACAAATCAATAAATAATTTGAGAATAATTCACGGAATTTGAATTCGCATTGCAAAAATAATAAGTATATCTCGATAATACGAAATTAGCTGAATTTTTCCGTAGCACCCAATCCTCCCAAAGTAAAGGTAAGAACTTAAATGAAAGTTAAAGATTTTCAAGGTCATTTAGGTGAACTTTTCTCTTGAGAATTTTATTATAAAAAACTGATTTCAGACTTCATGTAAAAAAATAACCAAAAATACAAATTGCTAATAGCTGCACTGAGTATTGGTTGGTAAATTAATAAATTGGATTACAGAAAATTACGTATTTATTTTCGAGCTTAGGAGCATGTCTTTTCTGCCTCAGTATCATACGATTTTTTTTGAAATGTACATATGTATAGGGAGTCGCGCTTAAATATGATACAAGCCTGTAACTTCTTTATTTTTTGGCCGATTTCAAAAATTTTTATTTAGGACTGTAGGGTAGAAAAACTCTATCTAACTGTGATACTGCTGTTTTTATTATTGCAATTCATGACCAACTAGGATGGTTTTCTTGACATCAAAACAGCTGATTAGTATTAGCGATTTTTTTTCCAAAAAACAGATTACGTATTCTCATTCAGCATCCCTTAAAACGTCTTACCACCAAGTTTAATCAAAATCGATACATCTTCAGGTGAGCACTCCGTGATATCGCGAAATGTAATACAAGCCTGTAACTTCTTATTTTTTGACCGATTTAAAAAATTTTTCTTATGAAATGTAGGATAAAAAAGACCCTATCGGACTGTGATTCTGCTGTTTTTTATTAATACAATACACAGCCAACTAGTGCTCCTCTGAAGATGTATTGAATTTGATGAAACTTGGTGAAAGGACATTTTAAGGGATGCTGAATGAGAATACGTAATGTTTTTTGGAAAAAAAAAATCGCTAATACCAATTAGCTGTTTTGACCTCAAAAAAACGCGTTCTAGTTGGCCGTGAATTGCATTAATAAAAACAGCAGCATTACAGTTACAATAGAATTTTTTTATCCTACATTCTAAAAAAAATTTTTGAAATCGGTCAAAAAAACAAAAAAAACTACAGGCTTGTATCACATTTAAGCGTGACACTCTGTATAACATAATATCTTTTGTAACACCAAGTGAATAAGAAATTCTATTAAAAATATTAACAAATAAAAATTAAAAAAAATTAATATAATCTTTCTTCTAATTACTCAGAATGTCAAAGTTGCTTCTATTCTCGAGGTATGGGATCGCCAATTGGTTGAATAAAATGTAGTGAAAAATTAAACCAGTCACCAGCTGATGAAAGTGTTGTGTTTTAATCGAGGTTTTAACGTAATCTTGATTTTGTTTCAATAGTTTTTAATTTTACCAAAAATTTAATTGCCAAGAAAATAATATTACCGTTTTAAACAAAATAATTGGTCATGCGGTTTGTAATCATTTATGAAGGCTCTGTAGAATAGGAATAGGGTCGCCGATCTTCAGATTCAATTCTAAGAAGGGACAGGTCCAGCAAGCTGTACCCTCGGTTATTACATGACCAAAATATAAACAAAAAAATGTTTCGTTTTTTTCGTTTCTGAATTATTGCGATAAATATTTCTTTTTTAATTTCATACAACTTCTAGACAGTAAATAATTTGTCACAGATTTATAATGTACCTTTCTCCTCTGAATTTGTTCCCACTTCCTGGGAATCGACATGTATTTTATTGAAACTCTTGCTGAAACTATTTGTATGTAATTTAAGTAATACACTTCCTGGGAATCAACCTGTATTTTATTGAAACTCTTGCTGAAACTATTTGTATGTTATTTAAGTAATATGATTTTTAAATTTACTAACACATATCTAGAGAGAGCTCATAATTGTACATAATAAGTACCTATTTAAATATAGCAAAAATAATACATTTTCACGTCGATTTTTACTTATTTTTCCATTTTATAGTGAAAAAAAAAAATGGAATTTAAAATTGAGTCAAAGGGATTCAAGAGAAAGTCAGAGGAATCCATGCGAAAATCTGATGAATTTGAGGGGAAGTCTGAGAAATTCAAGAAGAGTCGGAAGAATTCAAGGGAAGTTCATGGGAAATCAGAGTATTTCAAAGGGAATTCACAGAAAGTCAAAGGAATTCAAGGGGAAGTCAAAGGAAGTTAGAAGAATTTGAAGGAATTCATGGAGGAAATCAGAGGAATTTCCTTGAGTGGAAGAATTCTGGTGTACAAAGTTATAACCATGGTTTACCCCTTGCAAAACTCCTTAGTAGGTATATTCAAAATTTGTCATGTCTGTTTCTAACAAAAATTTTTTATTACTTTTGTTATGAGACCACCAGCTTTGAAGTTATTTTCGATTTAGTTAACTAGGATGCAGTTAATTTAATGTTTAAATAAATAACTCAAAAATGGCATGTCCAATAAAATTGAAAATATCTTTTTTTGTTGAAAGTACCAACCAGAATTAAACGTACTTATCCAATTTCTAAAATATTCTGTGGTGTCAATATTTTATGGTTCTTAGTAATAGTATTTTCCAATATCACCATCCAAAGCCCATGTTTGATCAGTCTAGGACATCTTCGTCTACTAACAGATATTTAAATAAATGTGGTATCTTTTTTTAAATTTCAACACCCTGTATCACGAAAATAAAGTATTTCCAGCTACATGTTTATAACTTTTTTTATTGATTTGTGACATCATTAAAGTGTGGCAGAGTACAAAAATGCTAATTTTATTTATTGGTCTTTTTAGTACTTTTTTTTTGAAAATATGACAATTTTTTATAATAACTGGCAATGCTGAAAGTACCTACTATAAAATATGTATAATGAGGGAAAAACTTGGTAGATCTGCAACCAATTTATCTAGTCTGGAATCGTAAAATATTATACTTATGGCATGTTCTAATAGCCATAACTTCCTTACTATTAGAGACAGACCTATCAAAAGTAGATATCATTGTAATTTTACATTTAAGAAAAATCATAAGATTTGTTTCTAAAATTAAAAATATGAAAGTTAATATTAAGTGACATTTACAACCAATAATTGGTATTTATCTAAAAATGTTTTTTTAAATCCGTTTTATAACCACATTTCTTTAATGACAGTCAACTGTCCCGATTAAAAATTTTGATACATGTGTGTGTTTACATTTTAAACATATGTACATCATATTAAGTACAATTTACAACTATTTTATCATAAAAGCAAGTGATAAATCATAGTTGAAAAGGTTCAGGATTACCTTCTATCTCCACAAATATTTCAAAAAATGATTGAGTATTAGATGCATTTGTTCATTTTTTATTGTATATAGAAATTGAAATATGTATTTACTTATAGTAGGTAATTGCTACTTTTTCTAATTTATCGTTAATAGCTACTTATCTATTGTGAGATTTATTTCTTAAATGAAGATATTTTGCACTTACTCAACATATCTACTACCACAATAACATTTTTAATATAAACAAGTTTCAAGAAAGAAATTTTATGTATGTTCATTACTTCTCAAGATACCTATCAATTCTTGATATTTTGTTTTTTTACTTGTTTGAATAAAATGTTTAAAAAATTTTTTAAGATGCTAAGATATTATCTACTTGGTTAGATAAAAATTAATTATTGTAATACATACTTTTACATTACTTTGCGAAAATGAAAAGCAAATTATTATACCTATTTATTTAAAAAATATTTTATGAATAACGCCCCAAGGAAATGAGAAAGTGATTGCAAGATAGGTACTTTCTCTAACCTAGAATGAATGTGAAAAACTTACTAAAATTTTAAAGTAATTGGTATAATATAACTTATAAAAATATATTATCAAATTGGATATAAAAATCAGTAATACAAAAATTATTATTGGTTTTGCAGATGCCCAAGGTTAGTTCGTAAATGAAACAGCCGCCTAATATTAGCAGCTAACTTAGGTTGTTAGCTTGGAATGAACCTTGTTTTCGATAATTTCGATGTTTACCTTATTCTGGTAACACGCCTACTTATTAAATATTTTTGATTGAGATAAATTTTTCGTCCTAGATGAAAATAATACACGTTTTTTAATTTGTGCGAAAAGTGAACATCACTATTGTGGAATGTTAATTATTATTTACCTTTTTCGGAAGCATAACTGTTCAGATGTTCGTCGTCTCTTGACACCTGAGTAATAATGGACGATGCTTCCATTTAAACATTTGTTAATTATTCTCTATTTTTTAACTCCTCAAAGTTTTTAAAATGGTATTGAATTATAACACTACACAATTGCACACAATTTTTAATTTTCTTTTTATACACTACACTATTAACTAGTCAAACTTCAAAACCTTCAAACAGTCAACACAACTCAATCGAATTTTACTCCTCCTGTCAGTAAAAGGCGGTAAATTTAAATATGATATCCTAAGTGCAATAAGTACCGTACCTGTACCTGTAATATTAAATAGTAAGAAAAAATACAAACAAATATACATACTATTTATACATAAACAAATAATGAAATATTACCTAAACTTACACTATGACAGTCAGGATATATAAAAAGGTACCTACCAAATAGGTATATACAAGATGTTTCCTTAAAAATACCTAATCTAAAATCTGATGAGATGACTGAGCAGACTGAGTCCGTTTTGTGATGAAATTTCATGCCTATAAACATAGTGATGTATATAAATCCTAAATTGGTAAACTAATTAAATTTATTAGATTTTAGGTAAAGTGAATTACCCAGTTTTAATCATTATTATCATTATCGGGTAGAATTAACTGAAAAAAGTAAGAGAACCCCAGGCCCCCGCCAGCCTTGGTTCCGTCATATATGCACCGCTGTAAACAGTCTTTATAATCTAAGTAGTAAGTGCTGTTAATGCCACTGGTTTTTAAAGTAGGTAATGCTTATGATACAGTATGGAAATTGCCAGTGATTATTTAAATTTTTGATTTATGTAGCTCTCTTTCAATCCAGGATATTTTTTTGTTTGAAGCCCTTAATGTATGAGGAAACGAGATATTCATAAAATTTCTCAAATACAACAGTTATTTTTCCCTGGATCTTCCGTTAGTGCCCTATCATATCCAGGGACACGCGCCATTATTCTATGGCTAGAAATTGGCCTCAATGATTTGGGATCGAGGGGGATTATCCCTCTTTATCCTGCCTCATCTCGTGTAGGCCTGGACAGCCTTCGTAGGTGGGCCCCATCCGTCGTCTACCCCAACCGCAAATGCGGCCGGTGTAGGCGCTTTGTGGGACCTCCTTTTGTCCTGGCTGGGCCCCGCCGGCATCCAGAGACATTGACGGTATTCTTCGGGACATAAATATTTCGTATATAGGTAGAGTAGTTTCAAAATCTCATGAGCCGCGAAGTGCGCGAAAGGCGTGGCGTATTCGCATAATTTTTCTAATGAGCACGTTGTGAAAACATTGACTCATAATTAGACCACGTGCCATATAGAACCAGAAATGAACTAAGGCGCTCGGGCATCAATAAAATCAAGTGGCGAACGTTCGTTATATTATATATTTTAATTGCTTAAATTAAAATAATAAAGAATAGGGCATTTTATTATAATATTTGTAATCGGATCAAAGGCTTGTTTACGCTACGAGAGCTCGCGCCGCGCCATTATTCCCTGGCTAGAAATTGGCCTCAATGATTTGGGATCGAGGGGGATTATCCCTCTTTATCCTGCCTCATCTCGTGTAGGCCTAGACAGCCTTCGTAGGTGGCCCCAACCGTCATCTACCCCGACCGCAAATGCGGCCGGTGTAGGCGCTTTGTGGGACCTCCTTTTGTCCTGGCTGGGCCCCGCCGGCTAGGCCCCTTTCTTCTGGCGCTCTTCTTGCTTCGCCGGCTCGTCTGTGTAAACCCCGGG